GCCTTACCATCGTGAAAAGTCCAAAAAGTATTTTATACAACATATAAGGAAGTAGTACAAGGGATTTTTACAATTTCCACTAAGAAGTCTTCTTTGACCATAGAGACTTGAAGTGATTAATAAAGTGCAGAGGTACAGCCTGACATGTACTGTAGAAGTTCCTCCTAACATAGTCAATTGTTGCATTAACTAAACTGTAAAAAAAAAAAAAACACAGGGCTTTTTATTATTCTTATTTTCTTCATGACTTGCATGACTTTTTTGACAGGGGTGACTATTATTCTTGTGCTACGGTCCAGTAAATACCACACCGTTTTCTCTATCCTTATATCCCTGCAAAAGCAACAAGCAGAAAGACTGCAGTAGTCACTGTTTCTGTCCAAACAACTTCCTGCATATTTGTACTGTAATCACTATAGAACATATTTCCTACAAAAGAAAAAGAAATAAATAATAATAACTTTGAGATCCTGTTGGGCATAGGGCCTAAATGTAATAATGCACATACCTGTTTTTCTGGCCAGGGAAAGTAGGCAGCGCTGCTGGGAAAGAAGGGCAACAAAGACGAACAAAAGGAAGGGAAATGGACTGCAGTGTTTTCTGCTAACAAATGTCTCCAGGCAACGAAATGCTCCTTTTGTGATTAAGGCAGTTTTGGGAAGAAGTCATTTGACACTGTTTATCATTGGGGCGGGGTTGTTTTCAGAGAATGTTCCTTTTCAACAACACACATTTGTTAGTAAATTTGTTTTAACAGACTTTATGAACATAGAATACAGCTTTAACACAGCAGATATGAAGGTGAAAAAGGTCATTTTTGTGTCCAAATCTGTTTTCTGCTCTCCAGTGCTCATCCTTTTTCTTGCTTTTTTCCATCCGTCTCTCTGTCCAGCTATGACCTGCCTCAGTACGGCAGTCGTAGGAAGCTGATCTCGCCCTCCGGCCTCTACGATGAATATGGAGAAGTGGTTGTGGATGACGACGGCAGCTACTACTACAGCCCGCAGGAATCTGATGCTGAGGTAAACACCAGCTGTCACTAACCAGTGCTAGTACCTGCACCACGCACCATAAATGGAGTGTTAACACTTCTACATTTAGGTCACATTTTGGTAGGTGACATATACGTTTAGAACAGGGGTGTCAAACTCATTTTCACAGGGGGCCACATCGGCAAAACAGTTCCCCTTGAAGGGCCAGTTGTAACTGGAAGATTGCATAGTTCAGTGGTCCCCAACCCCAGGTCATTTGGTACTGGGCAACAGTGGGACACACTGAAAAAATTTGTTTAATTTTTAATAATTACTAATACTACTAATTTTACTAATTTACTTCATTCAAACTAAAATCCATATTCATTTACTTTCTTTATTTAAAGATAATCTGACAATATTTTAAAATAATATGTCAGTCATTCAGACACAAACAGAATAGAGTCTAAAGAGTTCTCAGGTTAAGAAACTCTGCTGCATGGACTTTACTAAATGCTATTTGAGATCCTGCGGGCCACACAAAAGGAGTTGGCGGGCCGCATTTGGCCCCTGGGCCTTGAGTTTGACACCTATGGTTTAGAATATAAAACTTTTCTCCTCACCTGTTGTAGCACGTTGCCACTCCTAGTGTGTCAAATATCGATCACAGAACTTCATCGCATTGTATGTTGTAAACAATACATATATTGAATAATGTTTATGCAGAGGACATGGGTCACAAAGGCATCATATGTTGTAAACAATACATATATTGAATGTTTATGCAGAGGACATGGGTCAAAAAGGCATCTCTTTAAACACTGACTGTAAACTGTAGATTTTAGGAACGTCATATTAGTTAGAAGTTAGTTGTTTTGTTTAGTGTTTTCCACCACTTCATTTTCACCATCCATAATTCCAGTGAGCTGTTTTGTAATAATACCGTACTTTCCGGACTATAACCTGCTACAGTTTTCACACGCTTTGAACCCTGCAGTTTAAACAATGATGCAGCTAATTTATGGATCTTTACGGGTTAACGAAGTTCATATCACTAGCAATCACTGACTTTTCTGGTAGGCTACTGTGTGTTATACTAGTATTGTATACTTGTCCATGAATGGACGTATGTGCATATATATACATATATGTGCATATATGTGCTAATGTTAGCTTCGGCCCTGGAGCAGATCACTAAGTCTCCCTTGTTCATTCCAACTACGGTCAGGGCTATGAAGCAGGTAAGAGCTAACATGTAACCAGACATGTTACAGGCACTGTTTGGAAAAAATCATTTATTTAATTAAAAGTGAAAAAAAAAAAATTCTGCACAAAAATCCCATGTTACAACATGGACACCTGTGGCTTATACAGAAGTGTGGCCAATATATGTACAATTATTTTTTTAAATTTAGTGGCTGCAGCGTATATTCAGGTGTGCTCAATAGTCCGGAAATTACGGTAAGGTTTTGTTTCCTCATATGTCATGAATGATTCCATGATTTGAACTGTTGTCATTTGGTTTTGGATTCGTACCATCAGGTGAAGAGACAGTTTCCAGAAGCTAGATTAGCGCCTCACTCTTCTAACTTCCAGTCCCATCCTCCTCCCCGCACTCCACCAAAACAAAGCACGGGACCCCCGAGAGACAAAAGTGACAAAACCCAATCGTCGGAGGACTCTATGGTGGCAAAAGCTGTGTCGAAAATGGGAACGCTGCTGACTGCGGTGAGTAAAAAATCCGGACAGCCTCCAGTCATCCACCCACCTTGGAACAAAGCCAGGGTTCGACCGATGGACGCGGGGGATCATGGAGCAAGAGAAAGGCAAGAAGAAAAGAATGAGCGACTGGCCGGCAAAGGGCGAGAGAGATTAGAGTTGGTGAGGACAGGAAATAATGCATGGGAAAGAGAGAACTCCTCAGAAAGAGGAAGAGAAAGACCTGAAAACCAAACACGGGGAAAGGACAAAACAAACGGCCTGGGCAATGCTCTTATTGGACCGAACGGCGTCTGGCCTGAGCACAGGGGACAGCTGCCCGGCCTGTCGTCGTTTGGCCGCTCTTTCAGCGCCGACCACAGCATGGTCATAGATGGTAGTTATTTCCAAACGTCAGTTGAAGCCAGCAGGCCCCCGGTGTTGAGACAAAAGCTGAGCAAGTCCCTCGGTCTTATCTCCCTCACCAGGAGGCTGCAAGGCCCTGCCAGGGTGGGAACTGAGCAGTGGAGGGATGACGTCAGCTGGGACAGGGGACAGGAGATCCACAGGAAGATCAATGGCCCCATAGGAGACATGACCGTGTCCGCCTCAGTGTCAGAGAGACCCCGAGGAGACGCCAGGAGGTGGGGGGTGGACGACCAAGAGGAGGAAGTCTCCTCTGGTGGCTGGTGGAGACGAGGGAAACGGTTTCACGACAGTGATTCCGAGACTGCAAGTGGGGGCAAAGAGTCTCCCTCGGAATTTAGCCTCTCTGACGATACGAGTCCAGGTCCATCCATTACCACTGAGCAGGACAAGACAGAGAGCGAAACAGAGACGGAGAAAAATCAATCAGACTCCGGGTCGGACAAGGAAGGAGACACTCCTGACAGGAGAAAAGAGTCGGAAAGCAGAGGTCGAACGGAGGAAGGAGAAGGTTCCGGGTCTGGGTCTGGATTAGAGAGTGACAAGGAGGACAAACGTGCAAAGCACAGTGCAAGTAAGAGTTCAACGAGCAGTGACAGTATTAGACACAAAAGTGCCAAAACAAGAAGCAGGAAGTCGTCGAACAGCCAGACAAATAAGAGCAACAGTCGAAGAAGTACAGCTTCTAGTTCAAGGCCTAGACGTTCAAGACTCAAAACTTCTAGTCGGCCGATTTTTTCCAAAGATGTCTCTGAGGAAGACAGCGATGAACTGGAGAGTGAGAAGGAGGAGGAGTCAGGGGAGGAAGAGGGGAGAAATGTGGGCTCACACAAGTCGTTGCCAAGATCCAGAAACAAGTCGTCGGACATCAACTCAGGTCTCGTAGAAAACTCAGACGACTTGTCACCCATACTTGAAGATGAGGAGGAGAACGATGAAGAGGATGAAGAAAGCAGCGACCAGGCGGGAAAAGAAAACGGAGAGGATGAAGAGGGATAGGCCGAGTGAGGAGGCCGTGCGTTTGTCTCACCACGTTCTCCGCTCAGTAAGATCAGATTGAGATCGTGAGTGGTCTTTACTGGAGTTCTTTTTTTTGTCTGTTTGCTGTGATTTCCACTGAATTTAAATCACCACCGCTGCTGCTGCTGCTGCCCTCACACAGCGTCCTTTCCAGTTCAGACTTCATCCTTCCCGTCTAAAACAGTTTACTGCACTTGTCTCCTTGGGTGAGCACTCTGAGTTTCCTTACAACAGGTCTGACACTTCCACGCTGGTCCCAACCCTTTGCTCTCTGTAGGTTGTCTCTCTCGTCTTTGTTATTTCCCCGTCAGTCCTCCTGTTGCACAAAGGTTCCTTTTCCAACCCAGATATTCCTCCTTTTATCCATGCTAATGGTATAGTATGCTTGAAGCATCCCATACTGTAAGTCACTTTGATAAAAGACAACAATCTTTGTGAGGTACTATGGTACGGTGCAGTAAGGTTCCAAAGTACTTCCTCAGTTTCCTGTCATTCTCACTGCAGGTTTCAACACTGTCGTCCCTGCAGCCTTGCTGTGGCACAGGATCTGTGTTTGCTGTGGATAGTACATTATAGTATAGTAAAGTATAATATACTCTATACAGTGCACTATATAGAGTATATTATAGATCAGGCATGGGCAAACGTTTAGACTGGTGGGCCACAATTGTACTAGAATTGAACAGGGTATGTAAAAGGACATGTAAAAATTCACAAGTATCAAATTCATAAATGCTAAAATGCTTTTATCATTTTATACACCATCTATTGGGGAAACGTGGGTATTGCCGGGAAAAGGCAGAAGTATAATTATAACATGAATAAATGATTTAATCTGGAAAACTTTGAGGGCTGGATTAAAAAGCTGAACGGGCCACATTCGGCCCGCAGGCCTTAGTTTGCCCATGCCTGTTAAAGTACATAGATGGAAGATAGCACATTTAAATCTTAAAATGTACCATCTTCCATTATAACACACATGTTGCTTACATGGTCATTAATGGGAAACTTAAAATAAATAAATTAAATTCTTCTGACTTAAGGTCCAGCTCTTTTTACATATTCTCTACAAGACGTTTTCACAGCTTATCAACTTCTAAACATGTACATAATTAGTAGCACATAAAAACACATCCTAAGATAACAGTTGGTTTCACTGTACATACAGTTATGGTATGGCATATTTGTTTTCAAATAGTGGGGCAGGGGTGTGGTGAGGTACCGGGGG